TGCTCAACTACACCATCCCTGGGTCAAAGAGGAAATAAAAAAAGAAATTAAAGACTTCCTGGAATTCAATGAGAATGAAGACACAACATACCCAAACCTATGGGACACTTTGAAAGCAGTGCTACGGGGGAAGTTCATAGCACTAAGTGCCCACATGAAGAAACTGGGGAACAGTTATACTAGAGAATTACCAGCACAGCTGAAAGCTCTAGAACACAAAGAAGCGAACTCCCCCAGGAGGAATAGACGCCAGGAAATAATCAAATTGAGGGCTGAAATCAATAAAGTAGAAACTAGGAAAACAATACAAAGAATCAATGCAACGAAGAGTTGGTTCTTTGAGAGAATCAACAAGATAGACAAACCTTTGTCCAAACTTACCAAACAGCAGGGAGTGAACATGCATATTAACAAAATCAGAAATGAAAAGGGGGCATAACAACAGACTCTGAGGAAATCCAGAGAATCATTAGGTCATACTTTGAAAACCTGTACTCCACAAAATTTGAAAATTTAAAGGAAATGGATGACTTCATGGATAGCTATCACTTGCCAAAACTAAATCAAGAACAGATAAGCAATTTAAATAGACCTATAACCCCTATGGAAATAGAAGCAGTCATCAAAAGTCTCCCAACCAAAAAAAGTCCAGGTCTAGATGGCCTCAGTGCAGAATTCTACCAGAAATTCAAAGAACAGCTCATACCAAATCTTCTCAAAGTATTCCACACAATAGAAGCAGAAGGGTCTTTGCCAAACTCTTTGTATGAGGCTTCAATAACTTTGATCCCCAAACCACACAATGACACAACTAAGAAAGGGAACTTCAGCCCAATATCCCTCATGAACATTGATGCAAAAATACTGGCAAATCGGATCCAAGAACACATCAAAACAATCATTCACCATGATCAAGTAGGTTTCATCCTAGGGATGCAGTCCGTTCAACATAGGAAAACCCATCAATGTAATGCACCATATAAACAAGCTGAAAAACAAAAATCACATGATCATCTCAATACATGCTGAAAAAGCCTTTGACAAAATCCAACACCCCTTCACGATAAAGGTCTTGGAGAGATCTGGGATAATAGGGACATACCTAAACATAGCAGAAACCGTCCTGAGTGAGGTAACCCAGTCACAAAAAGAGCAACATGGCATGTACTCTGTTATATATGGATTTTAGACATAGATCTGGGGAGTTGCAGCCTACAATCCCATGGCCAGAGAGTCTGGGAAACAGAAACTTCATTCAGTGGCTGATCGAAGAAGAGGCAGACTCCCTCGGTTAAGTACTGAGCTGAACTCAAGAAAGCCAGTAACAGAGAGGGAGGACTGATGACCAAAGGGATTAAGACTGGGCTGGTTTAACCCCTAGAAACAGCTGACCTGACAAAGGTTAACTCTGGAATCCTAGGCATCAGCCTGGGACCAGCATGGGACTGATCAAGACCCCCTGAATGTTGGTGTCAGTGAGGAGGCCTAGGTAATCTATTGAGCCTTGGGCAGCAGATCAGTACCCATCCCGAGTATACACACGGACTTTGGACTCCCATCCAACAATGTGAGGTACACTCTCACCCTGAACTCTTGGGGAAGGGTCTAGGCCCTGCCCTATATGAAATGACAGACTATGGACACCCCCATGGAGGGCCTCACCCTCCCTGGGGAAATGAGGGAATAATGGGGGGGGGGGTTGGGAGGAAGGCACGGGAGGAGGGGAGGGAAAGGGAGAGGGACCTGGAACTGACTTGTGAAGCAACCTTGTTTCTTATCTAAATTTGAACTGAAAAATAAAAAAAAAAAAATTCCATTGTGTAAATGTACCACATTTTCAGGATCCCCTCATCAGTTCATGGACTTCTAAACTGTTTCTAGTTTCTTTAGACTACAATAGCAATGAACGTGAATGAGCAAGTGTCTCCATAGGAGGATGTAGAGTCATTTGGGTAGATATTTGGATCTTGAAGTAGATCTGTTCCCAGCTTCCTGAGGAACCACCATACTGATTGAGTGGAATTGCTCATCAGGCAAAGGGCTAAGTGTTGTTCATAACCCTAGGAACTTACCCAGGATAATAGAAAGGCAGCTTACAAATATGACTGGCAGAAAAAGATTCAGGTAAAGAAAGCCAAGTTACACTTAATACAAAGGGAAGAGAGAACCTAAGCAAAGCTTATCAAACCCAGGCTAAGGAAGAAAATCAACCCTTGGTTTCTCAAAAGCTGTAAGCTGTTAGGGGCATAAGTGAAGCAAATGGAAAGGAGAAACCCAGATTTGCAGCAGGCCTAAGGCTTTGACAACACTTACTATATGATAATATTTGAATATTTCCCTTAATCTCTTTAAAGCATAGTAGAGAAAAGCAAGAGCTGAATAAGCAGTAAGGCAAAACTAAAATTCAGGGTGAGACTATGCATATGCATTCGCCTGCCATCCTTCAAGCCCATTTACATGCTATTTGCTAAAAAGGAGGAAAAAGGAAACGCGTCATAATAATGAAGACAATAAGGCAGAAATTTGACTTAAGTCCTGGTAAGACGCTATTGATAAACAAAGCAGGACGGAAACTCGAACACAGGAGGTAGACAGAGCCCATTCTCCTGTTGGAACTCCATCCAGTGTCTACAAAAACAGGGAAATTTGCAACTTGTAGCTAACACACTTTCATTAATAAACATCTAGACAAGAAGGGCTTCATTGAGTGGTGGAGGCCTTCACTACCACGTACAACATTCTCAGGTGATGCCCAATATCCCCAAAGATATAAATATGAATAGCCAATAAATGATTTTCAACCATTTTGAAAATCCAAAATACAAAACATAGTTTTAAAATGACAAATGGGAGGGAAAAATAATTCAGCACAAAACAGATAATACAAAGAATGTAGATTATTTTTAAACTCTAATTAGTTTTCTCACACAAACTGAAAACAATAACTGAATTGATAAAACATCAATAGACTGCTATGGAAAGGAAGCAGTAAGAGACATAAGAAATAATTATTGGAAACTAAAACCATGGTTAGCAAAATGAAAACAATCTAGTAGGAAATACTGAGTGGGGAGACAAATTAGGAAAAAAATGTTAAGAGACACAGAAGATCAGTCTAGACTTTTTACTATCTAATTACCAAGAATTCCTGCAAGATCCAAAGGAAAACTAGAATTCAAGATGTGATGGTATGAGTGAGAATGGACATCACAGGCTCACACATTTGAATGTGTTGTTCTCAGATGATGAACTATTTAGGAGGCATTAGGAGGTGTGTATCTTCACGTTGAAAGTGTGTCACTCAGGGTGGGCTGTAGAGGACACAGAGTCCTTGTGCTCACAGAGAAGCACTAGGGGAACCAGGAATGGTAAACACTAATAGCCGTGTCTTCAAAGGAAAAGATTTATCATCTGCTTTCTGACCAGAAAGCTGGGAATGCATTTGGTTAGTAGCCTAGTAAATGCTGAACTATCTGTATGGCAATACTACACAAGGTCCTCCCATATTCTTGAGTTTGTCTCAGGCATCCTCCCTAGACCCATATCTTTCTTTTTTTATGAAAAAATTTTATTTTTAAATTTAAATTCAAATTAGAAACAAGATTTCTTCACATGTCAACCTCACGTTCCTCTCCCTTTCCCTCTCCTCCTCCCACCCCTCCCATCACCCACCCAATATGCCCTCCTTTCCGCAGGAAGGGCGAGTTCTTCCATGGGGGTGTCCATAGTCTACCATTTCATCCAGGACAGGGCCTAGAGCCTCCCCCAAGGGTCCAGTGTGAGAGTGCATCTCTCACTGTGGGATGGGGACCCAATGTCCATTTGTATGCCAGGAATAAATACTGGTCAACTACCAAAGGCCCCATAGATTACCTAGGCCTCCTCACTGACACCCACATTCAGGGGGTCTTGATCAGTCCCATGCTGTGTTCCCAGGCATCAGCCTGGGATTCAAGAGTTAACCCTTGTCAGGTCAGCTGTTTCTGGGGGTTAAACCAGCCCAGTCTTAATCCCTTTGGTCATCAGTCCTCCCTCTCTGTTACAAGCTTTCTTTAGTTCAGCTCAATATTTAGCCATGGGAGGCAGCCTCTACCTCCATCAGCCACTGAAAGAAAGTTCTGTTTCCCTGAGTCTCCAGCCATGGCATTGTAGGCTGGCACTACCCAAATCTATGTCTAAAATCCATATATGAGAGAATACATGCCATATTTCTGTTTATGTGACTGGGTTGCCTCACTCAGGATGGTTTCTTCTAGTGTCATCTATTTGCATGCAAATCTCAGGATTCCATTGTTTTTTTCTGCTGAATAGTACTCCACTGTGTAAATGTACCACATTTTCTCTATCCACTCTTCAGCTGAGGGATATCTAGGCTGCTTCCACGTTCTGGCTATTACAAATGATGCTGTTATGAACATAGTGGAACAGACATCCTTGTTGTATGAATGGACATCTTTTGGATATATGCCTAAGAGTGGAGTTGCTGGGTCTTGTGGTAGGCTTATTCCCATTTTTTTAAGGAATCTCCACACTGATTTCCAAAGTGGCTGAACCAATTGGCACTACATCAGCAATGGAGGAGTGTCCCGCTTTCACCACATCCTCTCCAGCATAAATTGTCATTGGTGTTTTTGATTTTAGCCATTCTAGCAGGAGTGAGATGATATCTCAGAGTTGTTTTGATTTGCATTTCCCGGATGGCTAAGGATGTTGAGCACTTTCTCAAGTGCCTCTCAGCCATTTTAGACTCCTCTATTGAAAATTCTCTATTTAGTTCTGCAGCCCACTTTTTAATTGGATCCTTTGGTGTTTTGGACACTTGCTTCTTGAGTTCTTTGTAAATTTTGATGGTCAACCCTCTGTCAGATGTGGGGTTAGTGAACATTTTTTCCCATTCTGTGGGTTGCGTTTTTGTCTTGGTGACTGTGTTCTTTGCCTTACAGAAGCTCCTCAGTTTCAGGAGGGCCCATCTATTAACTGTGGATCTCACTGTCTGTGCTACTGGTGTTATGTTCAGGAAGCTGTCTTCTGTACAATTCGTTGAAGGTACCACCAACTCTCTCTTCTAAGAGGTTCAGTGTGGCTGGATTTATGTTGAGATCTTTGATCCATTCGGACTTAAGTTTTGTGCATGGCGATAGACATGGATCGATCCGCATTCTTCTACATGCCAGCCTCCAGTTATGCCACCACCATTTGTTGAAGATGTTTGCTTTATTCCATTGCATATGTTTAGCTTCTTTGTCAAAGATCAGATGTTCATACATGTGTGGGTTACTATCAGGGTTTTCAATTCAGTTCCATTGGTCTACCTGTTTATTTTTGTGCCAATACCTGTTTTCAGGACTATAGCTCTTTAATAGAGCTTGAAGTCAGGGATGGTGATGCCTCCGGACGTTGCCTTGTTGAACAGGGTTGTTTTGGCTATCCTGGGTCTTTTGTTTTTCCATACAAAATTGATTATTGTTCTTTCAAGGTCTGTGAAGAATTGTGCTGGGATTTTAATGGGGATTGCATTGAATCTGTAGATTGCTTTTCGCAGGATTGCCATTTTTACTACATTGATCCTACCTATCCAAGAGCATGGGAGATCTTTCCATTTTCTCAGGGCTTCTTTAATTTCTTTCTTTTAAGATTCAAAGTTCTTGCAATACAGGTTTAGTTAGTGTTACCCCAAGGTACTTTATGTTATGGCAGTTGTAAAGGGTGATGTTTCTCTGATTTCTTTTTCAGCCCTTTTATCATCTGTATATAGTAGGACTACTAATTTTCTTGAGTTGATCTTGTAGCCTGCCACTTTGCTGAAGGTGTTAATCAGCTGTAAGATTTCCCTGGTAGAGTTCTTTGGGTCATTTATGTAAACATATCATCTGCAAACAGTGAAAGTTTGACCTCTTCCTTCCCAATGTGTATCCCCTTGATCCCCTTTTATCGTCATATGGCAATGCTAGACCTTCAAGTACAATGTTGAAAAGGTATGGAGAGAGTGGACAGCCTTGTTTTGTTCCTGATTTTAGAGGAATTGCGTTGAGTTTCTGTCCATTTAGTTTGATGTTGGCTGTTGGTTTACTCTATATAGCTTTTATTATGTTTAGGTATGTTCCTGTTATCCCAGATCTGTCCAAGACCTTTATCACGAAGGGGTGTTGGATTTTGTCAAAGGCTTTTTCAGCATCTAGTGAGATGATCATGTGATTTTGTTTTTCAGTTTGTTTATATGGTGGGTTACGTTGATAGATTTTCATATGTTGAACCATCCCTGCATCCCTGGGATGAAACCTACTTGATCATGGTGAATGATTGTTTTGATGTGTTCTTGGATCCGATTTGCCAGTATTTTTTTTTTTGTCTTAGGAGACAGGGTTTCTCTGTATTGTTTTGGAGGCTGTCGATCCAGCCTGGCCACGAACTCACAGATATCTGCCTGCCTCTGCCTCCCGAGTGCTGGGATTAAACGTGTGTGCCACCACCGCCCGGCTCTGATTTGCCAGTATTTTATTGAGTATTTTTTGCATCAATGTTCATGAGGGATATTGGTCTGAAGTTCTCTTTCTTAATTGTGTCTTTGTGTGGCTTGGGGATCAAGGTTATTTAAGCCTCATACAAAGAGTTTTGCAAAGACTCTTCTGCTTCTCTTGCATAGAATACTTTGAGAAGAATTGGTATAAGCTGTTTGGTAAGTTTGGACAAAGGTTTGTCTATCTTGTTGATTTTCTCAAAGAACCAACTCTTCGTTGCATTGATTCTTTGTATTGTTTTCCTAGTTTCTACTTTATTGATTTCAGCCCTCAATTTGATTATTTCCTGGCGTCTACTCCTTCTGGGGGAGTTTGCTTCTTTGTGTTCTAGAGCTTTCAGCTGTGCTGGTAATTCTCTAGTCTAAGTATTCTCCAGTTTTTTCATGTGGGCACTTAGTGGTATGAACTTCCCCCGTAGCACTGCTTTCAAAGTGTCCCTTAGCTTTCTTGGGTCCATTTGATTGGAAATTTTTTCCCAACCTTTAACTCTCAGGTACTGTCTGTCTTTGAGGGTGAAGCGTGTTTCTTGTATGCAGCAGAAGGAAGGGTTCTGTCTTCAAATCCATTCTGCTAGCCTGTGTCTTTTTATGCGTGAGTTAAGGCCATTAATGTTGTGGGATATTAATGACCATTGATTGCTCATCCTTCTTCTATTTGCAATGGTTGTTGTTGGTGGAATTAATGTGTGGAATTTCACCCCTTTGTTCTTTTGGCTGTTGGTAGAGAAGGATTCTCTAATGCTTATGTTTTTCTGGTTGTAGTTAACTTCCTTGGGTTGGAGTTTTCCTTCCAAAACTTTCTGTAGGGCTGGGATAGTGGATACGTATTGCTTGAATCTAGTTTTGTCATGAAATATCTTGTTTTCTCCATCTATAGTGATTGAGAGCTTTGCCAGGTATAGTAGTCTGGGCTGGCATCCATGGTCTCATAGTGTTTGTAGTATATCTATCCAGGACCTTCTGGCTTTCAGAGTTTCCATGGAGAAGTCAGGTGTAATTCTGATAGGTCTGCCTTTATATGTTACTTGGAATTTTTCTTTAGCTGCTTTTAATATTCTTTCTTTATTCTGTATATTTGGGGTCTTGATTATTATGTGGCGAGGGGACATTTTGTGGTCCACTCTATTTGGTGTTCTGTAAGCTTCTTGTACCTTCATTGGCATGTCTTTCTTAAGGTTGGGAAAGTTTTCTTCTATAATTTTGTTGAAAATGTTTTCTGCCCCTTTGAGGTGGATTTCTTCTCCTTCTTCTATACCTATTATTCTTAGGTTTGGTCTTTTCATGGTGTCCCATATTTCCTGGATGTTTTGTGTTAAGGATTTGTTGGACTTAAGATTTCCTTTGGTTGATTAATCCATTTCTCCTAGTGTATCTTCAACACTTGAGATTCTCTTTTCCATCTCTTATATTCTGTTGGTAATGCTTGTATCTTAAGTACCTGACTGTTTGCCCAGCTTTTCTATTTCCTGCTTTTCTTCAGATTGTGTTTTTTTTATTGTCTCTATTTCAGTTTTCTACTCTTGCAGCGTTTGCATTGTTTCTTGCAATTTTCGGTTTATCTTTTCGTCCATTTGTTGTCTTTCATGAATATTTTGGTTTGTTCTTTCTTCCATTTCTTGCATTTTTTGGTTTGTTTTTTCTTCCATTTCTTGCATTTTTGGTTTGTCTTTTCTTCCATTTCTTTGAGTGATTGTCCTATATCCTCTTTTAGGGCCTCTATTATTTTCATGAAAGTTGTTTTAAGATCATTGTCTTCTGCTTCATTTGCATTGGAATGTTGGAGTCTTGCTGGTGTGGAGTCTCTAGAATCTAGTGGTGTCATATTTGTTTTTCTGTTGCTGAGTGTGTTTTTGTATTGTCTCTTTCCCATCTCTTCTTCTAGTGGGTGCAGAAAGAGACCCTTACTGGTCTGGTGGTTAGGGGACCAGAGTTCCCTTTTGGTGGGTGCTAGCAAGTCCAATAATCTGGTAGTTCTTCTATTCCTTGACCTCATTCTGGTCCCATGGGTGGAGAAGAAGACCAGGAATCTGGGGTGCTTAGCCTCCCACCTGGTCCCCTGGACCCTTTGCTGGATCCACTGGTTTCCTGGTCTCGTTGGTGGGAGAGAAGACCTGGAGTCTGGGCTGCTTGGCTCCCACCAGAATTGGAAGCTCTGTGCAGTTCCCAGGCAATCCCCAGGCAGTGGAACACAGGACCAGATGCAGGGCCTGTTGTACCTGATCCCGCCAGAACAGCTGGTCCCCTGGTCTCCCTGGATGCATTCACATACATGCAAGACAAAACATGCATAGACATGAGATGAAAACAATATAAAGGTTGACAATCACATACGTATTTTCCTTCTAAAAATTTTGAGGATGTACTCTAAAAATTTTGAGAAGACAAAGTACATAAGAAAGAAGGCAAAGTAAGGCAACGAGTTCCAGATAAACGACCCTAACTCAGAAGCAGAAATCAAGGGGTGGCTGTGAGGATGCAATTATCTCACAATGTGAAAATTAACCTACGCATAGATAAACTCAGATTCTAGTTTTGCCAAAGTTAAAGGAAGACACAATTTGAAAGTAGAAAAACAGACCAAAATTCAGTGTATGTTCTAAATGTGGACTAATAAAAGATAGCACACTTCTGAACCGTGGTTATCACTGAGCCATAGCCCCAGCCCTAAATTTCATTCACCTGCATCCTCTGCTAGACCGTCTGAGCATTTAGAAGTGACAATCATCTTTGCCATCTCTATAACCCAATACACAGCAAAATGGCTTACTACTAGTTGTTAACACATGTGAATGAATGAAATTTAAACCAGAAAGTGCAGGCGTGGTTCCACAATCTCAACACCTACTAAAGCTCATGGCAACGTCTTTCCTCACTTAACAAAATAACTCGGTTGGGGAGAACAAACGTGCTCCAGCCCAGCCTTCCTGGAGAAACTCCTGGACACCCACAGAGCCTGCCGCCTGCCCTACCGGGCGGTATGGAACTATGAGCATGTGCCCAACAGGATGTGCACACAATGGGTAGAGGTGCACCTGTGGAGACACGTGAGCCCAGTCCAAGCTTCCAGGCATTTAACTCCTGCAGCCTTCTCGCACCTTCTGAGTGAGGAGATGAGACTGGTGCAGCCATTCCTCCTCACTTAAGGGATTCAAATGCTGCAGGACGTTTGACTGAGTGGGGAGCAAAGAATAAAGATAGCTGAGGACTGACTTTTAAGATTATATATATTATATAATCTTAAATTGCCACTCAGTAGTTGAGGGCTGACTTTTAAGATTATATATATATATATATATATATATATATATATATAGATATATATATATATATATATCTTGCCACCACCCCCATGTTGCCACTCAGTAGTTGAGGGCTGATTTTTAAGATTTAATTTTTCAGAGTCAGGGAGATGATTTTCTTGGTAAAATGCTTACTACACCAGCATGGGGAGCCGAGTTCAGATCTCCAGCACCCATGTAAAATGTATATAGTTCATTTCTGTAAGTGCCTGAAGACAAAGGAAGGTGCA